CTTCCAGCTTTGCCAGGCTACCATGTCCTTTGGCAGGTGGTCCACATCACTCCTGACCCTGTGTCCACCCTCACTGCTTCAAATCTCCTGCTTCCTCCTTCCACTCATGAGAACCTATGGCTCCATTTAGGACCCACAGGGAAAATCTGGGACAAACTGCCCACCTCATAGCCCTGACTTAATTCTTTCTGCAGAGTCCATTTCTTTGTAAGATGATATGGTCATAAGCCTGGAGCTCAGGCCAAGGTGTCTTTTTGGGCATTGTCAGCTTAACACATGGGGCCTTTTGGTGAAAATTACTGTTCCTTTTTTCTATTTTTTGAAGCATAATATACATATAGTAAACTGCAGATTTCAAGTGTACAATTGGAATAATTTGTCATTTTTACCCTTAATTCGTATTGAGAAAACATTCACACTGAGAGAAAAGCTGAAAAAAAATGACATAATGAATACATCTGTGGCTGTATCCCAGTTGTTAACATTTTGTTTTATTTGCTTTATTAAATATTTATCCATCTGCTACCCAAAAACCCATCTCATTTTTCAGTGCATTTCAAAGTAAGTGGTGTACAGCACACTTCATTCCAAATGCTTCAGCAGCCTTGTCATTTTAATTAGACATCAGTGTGCTTACACTTGTTAGTTAATGTTACACAACCTCAGTCCAGGTTTCAGGAGGTGGTTTGTACACCAACTTTCACTACATCACACAACCCGCATGACATGAAGTTCAAGAAATGTAATTATGTGGAAAAATGCTTACAGACAAACTTTGTCTAAAATTTCGCCTTCTTTATGTGTTTTAAAACTTATTTATTACTACAGTGTCATGTTTCACTATTCAAGTTAAAATCAAGCTTCCTAGCCAGGCACCAGTAGCTTACACCCATAATCCTAGCTACTTGGGAGGCTGAGATCGGGAGGATCACGGTTCAAGGCCAGCTTGCGATAAATAGTTCGTGAGATCCCATCTCCAAAAATAACCAGAGAAAAGTGGACTGGAGGTGTGGAGGTGTGGGTCAAGTGGTAGAACTCCTGCTTTGGCCCTGAGTTTGAACCCCAGTCCCACCAAAAAAAAAAATATATATATATATATATATATTTATATATAGTTCCTCAGTTATAATTGTCAAAAAGCTTTCAAATCATTTAAGAAATTCTCCCAGCTCTTGCTTGTCATTTGGAAGGCCTCGGGTCCCTCACCAGCAACACACACACACAAAAGAAATTCTCCTTAATTTTATATATTACATAAATTACATATGTCCCTCAGTTTCTGAGAGGCATTGGTTCTAGAAAACCCCGGGGGTAGCAAAACGCTCAAGTCCCTCATGTAAAATGGTTTGGGGTGTGCACATAACCTGTCCATACCCTTCCATATGCTTTACTTTTGTTTGTTTATTTTTTTGTGGTGGCACTGGGGTTTGAACTCAGGGCTTTACACTTGCTGGACAGGTGTTCTACTACCTCAGCCACTCCACCAGCCTGCACCCAGATTTTTTTCTTTCAAACATTGGTTTGTTGAATCTGCAGATGTGGAACCCACAAACACAGCGGCCAGACTAGATATATGGTTAGTTAGGTAATAATTCAATGCATAAGACACACACTTTGTTTTTTTTTGTTGTTGTTTTTACTTTGTTTTGTTTTGGCAAAAAGACATCAAAACAATTGGACAGTCATATCAAAAAGTAAACCCTCAAGCCGACAGCACGCCACATACAAATACCAGCTTAAAATTGGGCGTAGTAGAGGAAAAACTCCTAGTGATCCTGATCAGAGCAGCTCCAAAGGCTTTCTGTGCTTAGAGCAGGCTGGGCTGGGGCTCCAGAGGGCCATTTTTATGAGAGCAAAGAAAAGAAATCTCCCCCCGCATTCCGGGAAGAGAGGGGCATTAACCACATGAGAAGTGTGGCAGGATGGAACAGTGCGTGAGCTCTCGTGTGCACGTGTGTGAGCGCGAGTGTGAGCTGGAGCAGGCGGACAGAACTTTACGAATTACCACGTGCAGGCGGCCGGCTTTTAGACAGGGAACTGATCGGCTAGGATCTTTGCATCCCACATCCGGTGAGGTGCTCACCAGGGAGGGACATTCGGTGCTGATTGAGCACAGGTTGTTTCTTCGGCTCTCTGACCTCCTCAATGTGGCGTTTATTCCACAATCTTCCTTTCCAGAGAGAACTGAGCCTGTGGGTGGGGTGCCTCTGAGGCTAACCTCGGTCCTCCCCAGGACTTTTCTGCAGTAGGCAGTGGGGACTTGGAACCCTGCAGACGGTGTCTGTGTGCAGGAAGAGTCCATGGGGTGATGGAGCTGTGGAAGAATCCATCAGGACTCGGGATAGTCAAGAATGCACACACAAAACTGTCTTCTCACCCTGTCCAGCACTGAGCATGTTATTTATGTATTTGTTTGTTTCCCTATTTATTTATTTATGGTGGGATTGGGGTTTGAACTCAGAACTTCAAGCTTGCAAAACGGACTATCACTCGAGCCACATCTCCAGTCCATTTCACTCTGCTTATTTTGGAGACAGAGGGGAGGGTCTAATGAACTTATTTGCCTGGCTGACCTCAAACCGTTAACCTCTTCATCTCAGCCTCCCAAGTAGTTAGGATTACAAGTGTGAGTCACCGGTGCCTGGCTTGTCTGTTTGTTTTTGAAACAGGGTCTTGCTATGTAGCCAAGGCTGGCCTTAAACTCACCATCCCGCTGCCTCAGCTACTGAGGACTGGGATTACAAGTGTGGACCACTAGGCCCAGCTCAACTTTTTTTTTTTAAACATTACCATTAAAGTTTTTTCTCTGATGTCACCAAGTCTAAGCTTATCACCACGACTGCTCAGAGGCAAAGCATTGGATGATTAGTGAAGCACTTGGCCTCACCATGTGTTAACGGAGATCAAACTCCAGCAGCTCAGGGAAGATTTTCGTGTGCTGGGGTCGACTCTTACCGTGATCACAGATAGGTCTTGACGGTCCTTGTGAGAAGTGTCCTGCTTGTCTCAGGACTGTGTTTTGGGGAGAATAGGGCACTTCTTGTCACACTGGCTAAAAGACACAGGGCTGCAGGCCTGTGCTAGGAGTGGCCGTCCAAATCAGATCTGTGGCTTCTGCTCTACTGCTCAGAATGGCAGCCAGGATTGTGCTGTGGAAGACCCACTACCTGCGCCCACCTGAAGCTAGGTGCTTCATCCAAATGCATTTAAGTTCAGTCGCAATCCCCCTTCAATATCTGAAGGGTCTTAGCTTTTTCATAACAATTACAAAAATGTGTTCTGTGATCTTACAGAGCACTCAACTCTACACATGGATGAGTTGACTTCAATCCCAATCTGCTTTGAAATTTCCTTTTGCCATCATTACTCTAAAACCCCTCTTTTCTTCTTCCTTCCTTCCTTTCCTTCCTCCTTTCCTCCCTCCCTTCACTCTTTCTCTCTCTCTCTTTATTTTTTTTGGAGCTACTGGGGTTTGAACTCAGGGCCTCATGCTTACCATTTGAGCCATCTCACAGCTCTTTTTTGTTTTGGGTATTTTCTTTTTTTATTATCATATTATTATTGTACTGGGGGTGCATTATTACATTTATAAAAGTACTTACAATACATCGTAGTCGAATTCACCCCTTTCATCATCATTCTTCTTTATGCCCCTCTCCCCCCCATTCCTAGATGTGTTGGGTATTTTCAAGATAGGGTCTTTTGAACTGTTTGCCCAGGCTGGCTTCAAGCTGAGACCCTCCTGGTCTCTGCCTTCCAAGTAGCTAAGATTACAGGCGTGAGCCACCAGTGCCCAGCTAAAATCCTTCTTTCAGAATGCTGGCTGTGGCCTAGGAGGTCCTGGGCAGATAGTGCACTGGTATTTACCTTCTCTGCACTCAGGAGAAAATCCTGGCACCTGCCTGTGAGGGGTGCCACACCTCTCATTAAAGTGAATGTCTGTGTCCTTGCCAGGGCAGGGACATTAGATGCTGGGGAGCAGGTTTGGGCCCAGACATCCACATACGTGACTGTTTCTTATTTGTGCATCTCATCATAAGGGTAATGTATTCCCCAATGGCCAGCTGTCTTGCTCCCTTTGGCAACTCTAACATAGTACCTTAGGTGGGTCACCTTTGAGAAACTGCTAACCCTTCCACAGTGGCTGCCCAGGTCACACCTTACGGTCACGCAAGAGGGTTCAGGCTCTCCACATCCTCATCAGCACCTGTTGTTTTCTGAGTTGTGGGCTTTTCATTTTTTTCCCAGTGGGACTGGGATTTGAACTCAAATCTTTGTGCTTGCAAAGCAGGCTCTTTATTGATTAGCCATACCTCTGGTCCTCTCATGTGGTTTTTATTCGCACTAGGGATGTTGGGTGTCTTCTCATGTGCTTGCTTATAAGCTATCTGTCTGTCTTTAGATACACTGTTCACTCAGACCATTTTATTTGTATTTTTAGTATTGAGTTATAAGAGTTGTATACAATCTGGATCAATCTCTTTTCAGATATATAATTGCAGATATTTCTTCCCCTTCTGTGGGTTGTCTTTTCACTGTCTGAGTGCATCCTCTAAAGCATAGAAGGTTTTAATACTCATGAGCCCGATTTATCTACTTTGCTGCTTGTACCTCTTTAAGAACCCATTACTAAAGCTCACACCATGTAGTTTTTCTTCTAAGGGTTTTATAGTTGTAGCTCTAATGTTCTGGTAGGTCACTGAAAGTCTGCAGCCCCAAGAGCCAAGCCTGGGCCACATCTTCAGCCCTTGATCCAGGGTGGGTGGCCCTCCACTAGATCTCTGAGTAGAGTGTGATTTTTTGGAGACCTGGGCTGGTGGGATGGGCAAGACAGGGTACTCTGGGCAGGTGGCCTGGCCCATGGGGCTGGATTGGATGTCATGAGGCAAGCAGCTGGGATGTAGGATGCTCATTGCCCTCCTCCTCCTAAATTGGCTGCATTTCCCACTTGGAGGGTCTTGAAATGATTGTGTTTACTAATGTATCTCCCCCATCCCCAGATGCAGACCTGACTGTCACAGAGGCCAGCGGCTCGGACAGCCGAGGGGAGAGGGCCGAGCTCTATGCACACGTTGATGAGGGTCTCCTGGGAGGAGAAGCCAGCTACCTGGGTCCACCACTCACCCCTGAGAAGGACGAGGCTCTGCACCAGGCTACCGCAGTGGCCAACCTGCGTGCAGCACTCATGAGTAAGAACAGCCTGCTGTCCCTCAAGGCCGACATGCTTGGGGATGAAGGCTCCCTGCTGTTCGAGTACCTGCCCAAAGGTGCCCACTCACTGTCTCGTAAGTGCAACCTGTTGTGTCGCTCTACCCTGCTTTGCTTTCAATTACTCGGTCACGAGTCTCAGATGCCATGCAGGATGGGAGTGTAAATCTGTCTGTCAGGCAGGCCGGCTGTAGGTAGAAGATGCCTTCCAACTCCCCCAAGGCCTTTTGGGATGTGTTGAGGCTAGACACAGCCTGGACTGGCCTCTCCAGTCCTTTGGGACCATCACACTACTTTACAGAGTGAGACGAAGGCTGTGTGTGTGGTCCGGCAGCAGGAGGGAACGTCCAGTGCTCGCTGGAATGTTTCGTACTCAAATTCGAGGCACCTAATCTAAAACTCCCTGAATTTAAAAGTGCACAACAAGTAATTAACAAACTTGAGACCTCCAGCCCCTTAGAGCCTACCGCAGGCCCGGTGCAGGACAAGTGTGTCTTTGTGTCGAGGTATGGGCGTGGGCTCCCTCTGCTGGCCAGAGATTCATTCTGTATGGGAGACGTGTGGAGGAACACCGTCTGCAAGCACACTGACCCAGGGATGCCGGAGCTTGCTTTGTTCTTACTGGTCACGTGTGAGTTTTTAGAAAGGAGTTGGATGGTTCATTTAAACCTAAGTGTCCCAGCTGAAATCTACATGCCAGACCCACCCAGATGCAGCCAAATGTATAGCCGCTATGGTTTGGCCGGCTCTCCAGGCTGCCTTTCCCTGCAAGAAGGGATGCTTTAGCTTTTGCAGAGCTCGAAGCACACAGTGCCAGCTCCAAGACAAGCAGCTTCCCTGGTCACGGTGCACATGCAGACTGTGGCAGCTGCCTGTGCAGTGCCCGAGGAGGCACGTGACTGCTGGGCGCAGACTTGGCTCTGGCACTTCCTGTTTAGCTGGTGCTCAGTGTGGATGTGAGAGAGCCTAAGTCTGGTCCTGTTTCTCTCCCTGGGGGAGGATGGGGCAACCTGGAGGTACTGAGTTTGTGAGGGTGCCCTGTACCAGGGGGTCCCAGAACAGGATGGCATGGTGGTGACTTGTCCCATATGCCACCAAATGACAGGAGTTGCCAGTAGCCTTTGATATTGGGATGTGTCTTTGTTTTAATTTTTACTCTGTTTTTCTAAAAACAGTATTTTTGCAGTTTTGTTTTCATGAGCACTACAGCATCTGTTGAGATTTTGTACTGGTTTGAGGACTTTGCAGATCGCTCATGGTTAATAAAGACTAAAGGTGAAAAACAACGCTTCTTCTCTTTATTTCCCAGCTCTCAGGGAAGGGCCGTTGCCAGTCGATTTAGGATGTGTTTCAAAGACAGTGGGCTTTGGCATCAGGCATGCATTACAAAGCATCTTTAGGCCTTGTTTCCTACATCTGAGGAATGGGGACAGTGCCACTTATACAGTTACGATGTTTAGCATGTGCAGAACAGTGAACACAGTAGGGGCAAAGAAGTATGACAAACAATGTCTCAAGTGCAAAAATGTGCTTGTAGGCAGAAGTTGTTGGATTTGTTAAGATCCAGGTGCCAAGGACAGTTCATAGAGGTGGTTTCAGAGGATTTAGGGTACCTGGAATGCACAAGAACAGGAGAATTCTGGGATGGGTAACATGGGACTGTGGGAGGGGACAGTGGTGGTGACCTCCTATGCCTTCTCCACTGTGATGGCCTTTCATACCACAGGGTCTGGACACCATCCTTGCTTTCTATGTGTCTGCCATTCATATTTGCCCCGCGAAGTGCAAACTCTTTCAGGGCAGGGCTGTGGTGACAACACTTCCTTCATATTTGCCCCGCGAAGTGCAAACTCTTTCAGGTCAGGGCTGTGGTGACAACACTTACTTCCTTCCCTGATGCTCCAGGTGTTATTTGTCATGAAGAATGATTTTGGAATGAAGAGAAATTGTGCTTTCGCCTGTCATTGCTGTGTCTGGCAGCTTTACCTTGGCATGGGTTCTGTCCAAAAAGCCTTCAGTCAGTTTGTGCCCAAAACACACACCAGATGGGGTTAGCACGGCCAACCCCAAATGCCAATTTCACCATGTGCAGCAGAGCGTGTGGCGCTGGTGGGTCTGACCACAAGGGACTCAGAGAGAGATAGACCTACTTCTGTCTTGCTTCCTGGGTACCCCTAGTTCTGGCAGCAGAGCAGAGTCCTAATCCCTCCCCCTCCTCCACACAGGTGGTGCAGTGGCTACGCCAGGGTGGCAGCTGCCCAGAATGGGGCCTTGCACAGTGCATTTTACTTTTCAGATCTTTCTCTGGAATGCCCTGTATTTCATGGGTCTTGAAGGCGACGTAGGGCAGCAATCCCTTCCTCTGCATGTACCTCTCTGCATTTGGAGAGGGAGCCAGGGCTGGGAAGCAAGGTCCCATCTCCTTCTGCTTTCATTCCCTCAATGACTAATTCCAGGAGGAGTCACAAGTGGTGTTTGGCAGCTGTTTTGTGGTGCAGGGTTTTGGTATTTTGTTCTTTCTACGATGTTTTAACCTCTTGTTTTTAATATTCTAAACTTTCACTTTTTTCATATGAATATGCCCTTTTATTCCCTACAAATAGGTTAAATAGTTGGCAGAATCATGCCAGGCTTTATAGTGTTTGTAATCCCGGCACTGGGAAGGCTGAGACAGGAAGATCACGAGTTCAAAGCCAGCCTAGGGCTACACATAGTGCGACCCTGTCTGGAAAAAAAAGCGCTGTGAATTGTCTGGCTTTGGCTTTGTGCAGTGCAAGGAGAACCCGCAGAGACCGTGGCACTTGTAGGGCAATAGGTTATATGAAAACGAAAACGTAACTTTCTCACCTCCTAAATGACGCGCGCCTGTCTCTGAGCATGATCTAAAGAGGAGAGAAGTATCCAGAAATAAACGCTCAATTTCCAAAACCCGGTGTTCTACCTCCGTGTGTCAGGAGCCCCAGCCCTGACGGGGCCCACACAGACGTCAGTGGCGGCCCGCGCCGGCGTGGGGTGACAGGGTGGTGGCGGGTTCTGCGGGTGCTGCAGGATAGGGGTGCCGCGCTCACGTGCACCTGCGCGGGTCAGGAGCCGGACTGGGCAGCGGAGTGAAGTCTGTCCGGCCGGACACACAGAGCAGCAGCATCTGGCCGGCAGCGCTCGGCCTCCGCGACTCTGCAGCTCGCTGCTGGGCGGGGCCAGTTCGGGGGGGGCGGGACAGCCTGCTCCGGAAGCCCTCGCCCCGCCCACTCCAGTCCCGCCCCGCCCCTCTCCAGTCCGGCCACGCCCACCTCCGGTTCCGCCCCCGCCCATCTCCAGTCGGCCACGCCCATTATCAGCCACGCCCGTTTCCAGTCCAGCTCCGCCCCGCCCCAGCTCCATCCCCAGAGCCTTACCTGGTTCTGGGGCTGCTGTGTGGTGCAGTCTCCTTTGGCTGCTGCTTTCCACCTTCCCTTTGCTGGGGAGCCGAGGGACAGGGACGCTTGCCTCAGCTCAGGTGAGCTCCGAGAGCTGCCCAGGGAGGCGGGTTGCCCTTGAGCAGCAGGGCTTGGGCCCTGGCCACTGTGTCTGGGCTTGGCTTTGTGTCCTGACTTTAACCTACACGTGCATTGCTCCGGAGAGCATTGCCCAGGGCTGAGACTTCTTTTAGAGTCCCTGAAGGACAGCGTCCCAGTACAGTTCCTCGATGTGGTGTTTGGCAGCCGTTTTGTGGTGCAGGACACATGGCATTGTCCCATGTGTTGGGGCTGCAGTCCAAATAGTTAAAGTGGTCTAGTCCTGACAATTTTGCGCAAAAATGGGATCGTAGATGTAGGTTTTTAAATGGTAAGAAACATTGTTTGGAAAGTGTGCAGTGTAGAACAGTGCAAAGATCTCAAAGATCTTTTCTGGATGGTCTGTAATAGTCTAGAAAAGCTGGATTAACTTCCTTGTTCTCTGATAGAACCACCATCAACAGATGGTGGTTTCTTCACTGGATCATCAGTCTTGTAACTGATTTCCCCAGAAGAGGCCTTTTTTCCATTTCCCATTTTGACTCAGTTTAACTCGATTCTCTTACTTTTGTTAATCTTTCACCAGTAGGCTGACAACTTACCTGTGTATAGTTATTGTCCACTGAATAGAAACCATAAAAGTATCGTTTGTAGCTTGGACCTTGTGGTTTTACTTGTGGGTGTGCCTTGATCTGTCGGGGTTCTTAATGCCTCTGTGGCTGTCGTGGGCCCTGGAGAGAGAGCGCATAAGAGCACAGCAGTATCCTTGATTCACTCACCAAGCAGACACAGACCAGCTGACCTCAGGCACTGGGGTCTGTGACATCATGAGATGTTACATGACCCTTTCACCATCTGTGGTGACCCTAGAATGCAAAAAGTATCATCCTTGAGTGCTGTCAGATCCTTGATGGATGAGTCTCTGGTTCTCCACTGTGGCAGTGCCTCTCTTTGGGAGGATCCAAAGTTTCTCCACATCCTCCCAGAGGGCCTGGCGAAGTTGGCACTGGAACCATCAAAGCCCCAGGGTGGGGACAGTCTTCACCCCACTCCTGTGGCCGCAGCTGGGATGAAGGTCCAGGAGACATATTCTGTGGAGAATAACAGCAGTTTGATCCCATTTTGCCTTAAAGGGTATTTTCTAGCCTGGCATGGTGGAGTACACCTGTAATCCTAGCTACTTGGGAAGTGGAGGCAGGGCTGCAAGTTTGAGGCCATCCTGGGCTCAGGTAGTGGCAAGGCCCTACCTCAAAAACAAAATAAAAACAAAAGGGCTGGGAGCATAGCTCAAGTGTTGGAGTGCTTGCCTAGCACGTGCAAGGCTCTGGGTTCTATCCCAGCACACACACACACACACACACCCCTTATGGTGTTTAAATAAAAAACTCAGGACTTTACCTTGATTCTGGATTGGTACCGGATTTTAAACAGTTTCTTGCCAAAGGACATTTGGTGGACTATCGGTTGGTCGTTGTGAAATTCTCCTCAGAAGATCAGCATGGAAGGCCCGGTGGTCGAATTCTTCAGTTTTCTGTATTGAAATCTGCTGAACTCATTTTGCTCCTGAAGAGAGAGAGACCCTG